AATATTCTAATTGAATTTATTGATGATATCTGATGAAAATGATAAAAGATTTATACAATATTTTAAATTTCATTTTAACTTGTCTCAAGGCTCTATATTCTCATGTCTCTCATCTAGATAATAATGTGAATTAATACGAAAAAAAGAAAAAGAAAAAGTGTGATCTCGGACAGTACAACACCTTGTCGTCGATTGCCTGATGTTTGTTTATTTTGTTCATATATCTATGGAGATATGTATGTAATGCTTTGTCGAAAGGGCATAGCATGTACGCGAGAACGAGGAGAAACCATCGCATCCTATATCCTATCCCAGTGGCCACAAGTACAAGGCTCTTTTTTTTTCTTTTTCTTTACACAGTTTTGTCACATTATCGTTGTTGCTTCTCGACCAAACGCATGCACTTTTTTTTTCTTACATACATACATACATACATTCATACTTCAGATGCGTACAGGCAAGCTCTTTGAGCAGAACAAAAAAAAAAGCTTTCTTTTTTTTTCTCTCGCATACACATACATACTGACGATGGAGAAAAAATAGCTGCTGGGCGCAAATGGCGAACAAGGTTGTCAATATTACGTAACGACAACGTGTGGGCGCATGTGTATGCACAAGCGAGCGTTCTGTTTTTATTATTGACATAATATGTTACGATACGAGATGCATACATGTTCTCCTATTTTCTTGTTTCTATAGTAAAATACATACATTGGTTTTCTTTCTCTATATAATAATTTACTATTAACCACCTACAAAGAACAGAAAAAACTTTATTATGGTGCTAAAAAATGAACATAGTTTTTAGAAAATCGTTCATTCTTTGTTACAAAAAGTAATCAATCAATCATAGAAGAAAAAAAAAAGAAGAACTTTTTTTTATGAGTTAGTTTCATTATTTTTAGAAGAAAAAACAAATGTGTATTTCTTAAAATAAAACAAAAACTTGGACAAATGATGACTATTTTTAGTTAACTTAAACAAAAAAACATCAAAATATATGTCAATATACCTAGATCCATAAAAGTACAAACCTTAATAAGCAGTACACTTTGTCGTTTCTCTATATGTTGACGCTTACAAATAATCGATAATTTTTTTTTGGAAATTGAATAAATAAAAAAACAGTTATTCATCATTATATGATTAAAATAGGAAAAAAAAAGAAAACAATTACTCATTTTATGCGTAGTAGTAGTAGAATAAAGAATAATAATAATAATAATAGTAATAATAATAATAATATGGAAAATGTGTCATGTTTTCTTTCTTTTTTTTTTTTCTTGTCTTGCATTGAAAAAAAGAAAAGAAAGAAAAAAAATAATTATGATGAAAGATTCTACGGGTGGAAATATCATGAAAAATCTATTAGTAATTGAACATGTTTAAGTGCCCGTCGAAAGAAAGATTATTATTTTTCTGACAATACTTGTCATTCATAAAAAAAACTAATTTCGAGTACATAAACTCTTACCGCTTTCTGCTTCTTATTATCATTACACAACAGGTGAACTATAAGTAAGAAAAAAAAAAAACGAGATCCAAGGTGAACAACAAAATAAAAAGAAAAAATCCTCTCTTTTCTCTTCCTCCTACTTGCCCTTTTTTTTGCGTGTCTTTGTATATTTTACCAATACATCAATCTTCAATTAGTATTACATCATCTTTAATGACTTTGCAATTGAATTTAATATACATAAAATTAATTTCGAATTAAAGAAAAAAATGAAAAAAAAAAAGAAGAAGAAGAAGAAGAAAAGTCAATGTTATATGTTAGTAGTTTTGAGATTTTTATCGAATATCAATTCTTTTTCTTTATCAATATGTTAAGAATGTATGAACGATAAAAAAACGAAAAAAAAAAAAAAAATAATGAAAAAGATAGAAACAAATTCTAACTTATGTTGTTTATGTTCATGTACACGTACATACATGCCTTCGTTGAGTCAACCTTCAAACTTGATTTAATGCTTTCTTTTTTCCTTTTTATCTTTCTCGTGTCCCGTCCCATTTGCAAGGTCATAGAATGCGAAGTAGATGATAAACATGTTCCAAGATAACTTGTTGATCTTACATAATAATAGATAGATGGAATACAAGATGCCTTTTTTTTTTCTTATGCTTATTCTGTTTCTATGTCTTCTTTTTTTTCTTTTTTCTTCTCATTTCTCTAGGAAAACATTCTTTATTCATCACGTATAAACACAGAACGAAGAATAACTGTAATCTTTTGTCTTCATCAACTATTCAATGTTATATATGTTTTTATCTATAAACAGAATTTGATCTAACTATATCATTATGTTGTGTATTTCCGTTTTTATACTTTACTGACTTATAATTTCAGTACAAGGACATATTACAATACAAATAATAACGAGACATTGCTTGTTTTTTTTTAGACAAAAAAAAAGAAATTTCTATATTAATATAGTTTAATTTTTGATATCTGTAATGTGCAATATAATAATAAGATTATTAAATTTTTGTACATTTAAATCAACCGACTAAATCAATATATATTATATTATTGTGTAGCAAAAGGGAACATATTGTCAAAAAAAAAAAAAAAAAAAAATTAATAAAACAAGTCACTCTATCTTTCATCCAAAACATGTACGACCTTCATAAGTTGCCTTGAATTTCTTTACATAAGCAAGAAAAAAAAAAACGAGAGAAAAAAGAACTTTGCTTTCGGTCAAGGGCGCTTCGATTCGTTGAATTTCTGGAATCTCATTGTTCTTCATCGTTTTTACAAGGTCAAACTCTCTTTAGACATATACATACATACATACATGCATACATACATACAACATAACGACGAGTAATCAACCTTCAATGTAGCAGTAACATCAACAACAACGACGACAGCGAGGCTTTCAAGGTTCGATTTTACTGTTGCTGCTATCAATTGTTGACGCTGGTATTTTCTTCTTTTCTTGCTTTTTCATCATAGCGTAATGATGTGTGTTCAAGAACAAATATTGCTTCTTGTGTTCTTCCTTGCTTGTCTCTTCCTTTTTTCTTCTTTCTTTTCTTTCTCGAAAATACACAAATGTTATCAACATCGAACGATGACAATGAATGTGTATGACGCAATCGAATATTCTCGCTCTTTATATGATTAAATCAATGAACGAATATATGTAAAGAAAAAAGACAAGAACTTATCGATCGAGTGTGTGACTCAAGGTTACACTAAATATGCCTATGTGTATTCAATAACCTTGAGAATCTGTTCGAACTGGTCGTTGTCACATTAAATAGGATATTACTTCCATTTTCAAAACAGTATATTCTTTTTTTCATTCGTTTTTTTATTTTATTTGATAATTTCACCTCGATTACATACGCAATTTTTTTGCTTTTTCTCTCATACAAGCTGCTGTTCAAACACACATCTACGCATATATATATATATATACAAATGAAGAAATAACCCTGAACGGACCTTGAACTATAATGTTGATGAAAGGAACACGATATAACAAGAGTATGAGAGTAAAGCATAGAGGGAGAGAGAAGAAAAAAGGTGCTTTAGATATATATATTCTTATTCTCGAATCAGTGCAAAAACAGAATAAAGAAGCCTGCTGTAAACAAGAAAAGAAATTAGAACTTGTGCAAATGTAATAATAATAATAATAATAATGAAAAAAAAAAAGAAAAGAATTCCTGCAATCGATTACATCATTGAATATATATATATAATCAGAAACGGAAAGAGGAGGTCAATCGTACAACTTACCTAACTTTCAATCATTCTTTTTTTTTTTTTTATTGATATTTCTACGAGCATAAAATTCATGAATAAAAAATATAGAATGGTCATAAAATGATAGAATCATTTGCAATTTTCTTCATCACATGACTATTATTATATAAGATCGTAAAATAGAAAAAAAAACATTGAACAATAGTAAATAATTGAGTTTTATTCAAGGGTACTTCCTCATATAACATGGATATATATATATATATATGCAAAGATATGTTGACCGAGAATGATTACTAGTACGATTAATGTATAAGAGGAAATCAAATGATTTTTTAAGTATATCTAAATACATGATTTAAACTTTTTGACATATTAGTTTTTGATAAGGTAAAAGAAAAGTTCAGGAAGTTTTGTTATATTTGATCTATAAAAATATTTATTTTATATTTAATAATTATATAGAATTTTAATGAAAATTTTTATATTTATTTTTTGAAAATTTAATAGATTATTTGATGAAATATCAAGAAAAATTGATAGACTTTGTCAAAAAATAAAAATGACTTACAAATTTTCAATTATCTAAAATTATTATTTTAGTAAATTAAAATGTTGAAAAATTGTATTCAAGCAAAAAAGAAGATATTCTATGAATTTTCTTACAGTCAATGTTCGAAGTAGGTGTTGTAATATTTCAATATACAATTTTAATCTTCTAATTTAGTTATTAATCTACTCAAATATATTTCTTAGGTTAAAGAGATTTTAAAATAGCACATAGTTTTAATATAATATCACCAGAGTGTGTTGAGAACTGCAAAGTTTTATTCATTCTATTAAATAAAATATTCTCATCAAGAAAAAGGAACATATATATTTTATTCATGTAATAATAGTTAAGTAATAAAAATATTACAACAAAGTACTTTCTACCGAAATATCCATTAGTTCAAATAGAATAATATTAACATTATTAAGTTTAACGTGATTAAAGGTATTATGTTTTTATTTACCCTATGCTCGTACAATTATTTGACAAAAAAAAACAACATCCGGGAAATCAGTTGAATACTTATTGTTAAAATGTCAAATATCATGGGTATTCAAAAGATTAATAGTTCATGAATAAATATTCTAAATTTGAGAACATTTTTTATGATAAAGTGTAATTTTGAATGTCATTATGTTAATTATGATAGATTTATTTTTGATGATAAATTCTAAAATCAATTTGAATTTATTAAAAATCTTGATATGAATTAATTAATCTAGTTTTTTATTATTAATTTAGTTCTTGATAAAAAGTTTTATAATACTTATTAACCATCTCTTCAATTTGATCTGTTGTTTCAGATCCATTACATAAATCATTTAAACATTCGAACCAAATATGATGACTACATATTATTTTATTGTCCATTGGAATTTTTCTAGCTGCTATTTCAACATACGGTGAACCTTTCTTAAATTCACAGTCGAGCATATCGAATGTTCTAACTGTTTGACCTTTTACATTAATGACTTGACTTTGTTTATTAGAGCATCTTCCATTACATTTACTAGGTTCATCTTTTAACCATTTATGATAAGTTAATGAAGATGACTTACGAGTAACAAAAATATCCATTAAAGTATTTTGAAGTTTTATATAATCTTTCTTGATTAATTTTGGTAGAGTTTGAAGTAAAAATATTTATTCACATCGATTACCTAATGTACATGAATAAAATAAATTCTGTATGAATTTGTGTTATTATTAATCATTGTTATTTCTCGTACATAATCATATTTATCATTTTGTTTTGATCAATTGATCGTTTTTCATCATAAATATGTTGATCCAAATGTAAATTGAAATTTTTTTTTTAGTATAATCAATTTTAAATTTAACTTGACAAAGAATATCTTGTCCAGTTTGATTGGATTTATCAGAAAAAGAATCAATGGGAGAATCGAACAATTGTAAAAAATAATAACTACTTCAACAATAAGGATAACCATTTGTTTGAACGATTATACCGAATATTAAGCAAAGAATTGTAATGAAAACCCTAGTCATTATTTTGTTTCAAGAGAAACAAGTCATTTTTATTTTTTTTTCTATTTTGCATATATATGTGTGATTTTCTTTTAAACAACTATTTGGATGAAAAATTTCATTCATTAAGTAAAGTTATTGGTTAAAAAGAAAAAAATAAAATATGTTTTTTCTAATAAAATATAAGATTTACAATATTATGTCCATATGAAATTTGACAAAATTTTTCTCATAAACGATAAGAAAAGAAAATCCACGATTTTTTACATATTAAATTAAAAGATATCATAAACTATTTGATCAACATTTACTGAGTATCTTGTCTTATGTATTCAGAAATATATATATATTTATAAGTGACACGATCAATATAATACACTTATACATTTCCAGATGACTTCTCAATTGTTCGATTTGTAAGATTAAACTGTTGAGAAGTAGTTCAATTCTAACCAAATAAACTGGAAAAGAACATTTAGATAAAAACATTAAATATGATACGTAGCTTGGTGATTCTAAGGAAACTACACTTTGATATACGTACCACTCTCAATTGATAAAGTTTTCTTAGAAAATCTCTTGTTTCTTTTTCTATTTATTAATCTGAAGTTCATTTTGAGTTTAACTCAACCTTTTTCTAAGAAAAACATGACATGAAAGAAATCCAGGGCGTCGTCCATAAAGCTACCTTTCACTTTTCTCAGAAAAGATCAAGTTAAATCCATAAACAAACTTTCAGATCAATAAGTAGAAAAAACAAGAGAATTTAAAGATTATTGAATGATGACCATCATGAAGAACATGAAATCTATACACTAAAATTTATCAGAGATAAGTGAAATCGGTAACGGTATAGGTTTTTACAATAACTCCACTAACGAGTAATTGGAAAATTTTTAGACAAGATGTCGGTTCATTTTTGATCCAATAGAAAGTGTTTCCGACGAGTTAAAAGTGATGATTTACGAGCCGAGTTTTGTATTTTTTTTTCGAATATGAACCTCGGATTTTTTCTGTCGATTTTTGTTTAAGAGTAGTGAGAGACTTTTTGAAAGACCTGAAAAGTTATTTTTAATGGTGATCCAACAAGTTTTTGTTTATCCTACAAGGATCTTTTCGAACATGATAAAAATTATCGGAGTCGATCGTTTTGTACAGTGAACACTTCTCTATAAAAGATGATATTAAACTAAACTGTAGTTTTTACTCAAGTACGACTACAAGCATTTTTTCAAGAGCTCCTTCCAACATGAAACAGTTTTTCATCAAAAAAGTCGATTTTTCAAAAATAAGTATTTGTACAAAACGAAAATTGATGTTCTTTGTCGAAAGACAAAGAAAACTGCAAATAGTTCATTTGGTAGAATAGCTTTCGATCTACAAGCTAATATATAAATAAAGATCACAACTTTTAGTTTCAGATCGGAACAGTGAAAATATAAAAATGTGCAGAAAAATTTTCCTATTCAAACTAATTCTTTTTGAACTTTTCAAAGATTATTTCATTACTCTCGAATAAAAACTAAGATAAAATTTCTAAGCCTATATTCGAAAAAAGTATTCTAATTCACAGCTTTCGACGCGTCGAAAATACTTTCTAGTGGTTTAAAAGTAACTCGTGTAGTTGAAATTTTTCACATCTTAGATCAATTCATTTATAGATAAGAAAGAATATATATTTACGATTGACATAGAACATACGATTAAAATTAATTCATATTTTAAAACATCGTTTATATATCATTTATATTTCAAGACTTTGTCAAACTGGTAAATTCTCTGAAAAATTCTTTACCTTAAATAATTAATTATCCAAGCTGGATTTTCATTAGATGTAATCAATGTATAGTAGTAAACAAAAGTCTCTGTCTCCTAGTAGATCTCAGACATTATAGATGCTAGACGACTGAAAATTGGTGTGTACATACTTTGTCAAGAGTGTAGGTAAGACATACAATTAGGTTTTGATTTCTCAAGTACAGAGAGAATTATAATGAGGAACAATGGATGGCACCTTCGAATTTCATCCCGGTGGAAAATATGAGCTTTCGAGGTCAAATAATAGCTCATTATGTAGTATTGTATCCCAACTATCCACATAACTAATGTCATTGAAGTTCATCAACTTTCTCTAGCATTGTGACCACTTTACTGTAACTATTGATGTGGAGAAAATCGTCTGGTGTCCTTTTGAAACGAGAATACAGTAGTAATTCAGTAAACGAAGCTCAAACTCTTAGAAAATTTACTTCTACAATTGGACATTAGCACCTACAAGTTTCATAAACAAACTGCATATATTGATGGAAAACAGCATAGCTATGATCATCGTGTTGATGAAACACAGAATCCAGAAATATCCATAGATGTCAACATTCAAACAAATGAGTTTATCGTTTAGGTAAAGAACGATCATAAAATGAATACCAGTTCCACTTAAAAACACCACGAATTAATCATATATTTGGTGAAAACTAGCGCAAAATTGAGTAGACAGTCCTCTTCAGATTAAAAAGCTTGATGCAAAAATAAATATCATTCAATCATAGTTATCTTTAAACTTAACCCGTTGAAACAGAACTGTGTCTCTGGCCTACATTCTTGACAAAGTATATGCACAAATATTTTCAAGCATTCGACATTTAAATAAATTACAGAACTAAATAATCAACATCAAAATCATGTAAATAATATCTTGCTGGAATTATATTTATTTAATAATAAATTCTAAGCAATTTGAAAACCTAATTTTGTTCTATATATTGTTTTAGCCTACATGTTTGAATAAAAAAAAAAAACAAATTTTTTTTGCCAAGATGACTGACAATATGAAATACGCATATAAAGATCAACAACATAGAGATGACCAATTCAAAAATAAATAAAATGCAAGATTAATAATAAGAAAAAAGAAACCAACTCGTATTAATATTCATACGAAATCAAAAAGTAACAGAATTCATAATCTGTTTTATAGGCATATAAATGTTGTATTGAGTTATGCCGTAGTACCAGTTAAAGCAAATACTAAAACAGTACGACATGGTGTATAGACTTTAAATGAATATGGTCTTTCATCCCATTTATAATCTTCAGCTGCAAACACTTGTCCCTCATCAACGCGACCAAGGCCATCAAATGCGGATGAATCTGAATTAAGTACAATTTTATATCTAAGTAATAGAAAAAAAGAATCGAATATAATTTATCATATAGAAAAAAAAGCGTTTATATTTAAAATATATGTCGATTTTATTACCAAAGAACGAAATATATGTAGATTTATAGAGGCAGACTTCCTCTATCTAATGAAATATATTATAAAATTCTGTTGCGTATCGTAGGAGAACATTGAATTGAAAAAACATCTATGGAAGAAGGTCCTCCTATACCACCATCTCAATCATGTAGAATCAAGTCAGAACGTAATCTAATGATGTTTATACCGTTCGACACACTATACTATCTATTTGCATAAAATATATCACCCTTCCTCATATTCGAGTTATACGGTGACTTATAAAAGTTTGAAAACTAAATTTCACATATTTTTCATAATGCTACATGAAACAGTATTTATAGTGTCATGTTTGACAATCTGAAATAGATTTCAAACACACAGAATTGTAGAGATTTAACTATTCTTCCCGAATAATCGATGAAAAGTCAACAAATGAAATCTTTACAGATGATAAAAACAAAGGTCGAAAATTAGAGTCGGTCGGGTTCAAAATTTTCAGACCAGAATCCGACTCGAGAAATTCTACTGAGAATAACTTAATAGTATCACTCATTGACTGTATCTTCTAATTTTTGACATTCTCTTTTTGTCCCGTTCTAAAACTTTCTGTGTATGATTGTTAAATTTTTTATACAATTTCTTCAAGAAATGGCAATAACATGAGTAATTTTACATTGTCATGTCTCAGGAAAGTTTTAATAAATCAAATAGCACAGGATCATTTTAAAGAGCAAAGAAATTTCGACAAGTCTGTATATTTAAAATAATCATATATCAAATTGTCAAACATGAAACTGTAAATACTATTTCAAGTTGCATTATGAAAAATATGTAAAATTTGTTTTTTTTTAAACTTTTGTGTGTCAATCGATACAAACATCATTAGATTAGATTCTGGTATAGGAAGACTTTCTTCTATAGTTTTTTCAATTCGATTTTTTCGTACAATATGCAATGGAATTTCATTTGTTAGATAGAAAAAGTCATCTTCTACAAACCTATACATATTTCGTTCTCTAATCAAAATCTTATAATCACAATTAGAATTCTTACTTTCCAGGTTTACCACATCCAACACGATAATCAGCAAAACTTTTCGTTGGATGAAAATTAAATACGAATAATAAACCTTGATTACCACGTTCAAATACAACTAACTTATCATCTTCATGACGTCGACTTATAAACTAAATATATCAATAGATATATCTATACATACATATATACTTTATTTATTGAAATTTCTTACTGTATCTTTAGCTGAAAGCCATTTATATGCTTCTTCACAATTATTCATAGCTTGATCCCATGCATTAAGATATTTATATCTTAATTTTTCATCTTCAGG